GGGTGGGAGAGGAAGGGATGCTGGGGCTGGGAGCAGCTCCGGGCCCGTCCCCCGCTGCATGGGTGCTGCTGGCTCCACGAGATGGCCAAGCAAGACCTCTGGCAGCCCAGTCTGGGCTGGGACATGGTGTCCCTGTCCTTGCCAAGCCCCTGGGGACTTCACACGGTAGCAGGGCCCCACGCCAACCGGGCACCCTGCACAAGCATCACCAGCGGGTGAGGGGATCGGCCAAAGGGGTGGGAAAATGGGGCAAAACACCGCGCCCACGGCTGCTGATTCAGCATCTTTTCCCCCTCAAAGGCACCTCTCCCCTTCCGGAGCCCCGCACCCCGCAGGTGAGCCACCGGCACGGGGATTTATAAACCTGAGAGAGCCCAAAGGCACTGCATGAGGCCCGGCACCGCTCACCCACGCTGGCAGGAGCCCATTTGCAGACCCGGCTGTGCCAGCACGGAAGCGCAATTATCATCAAGCCCGTCTGGCCGCCCTGGGCTCCCGCAGCGGCAGGTGCTGGGCGCTGATTACACCGGCTGAAGCCTTTCCCGCCGCGGCTCGGGGACACACCGGCACCCCAGGAGCGAGCAATGCTGGCTCTCGGTGGTGGGGCTCCCCTCGGCTCGCTTGAAGCGCCTGCAGCCGGCCCGGCCACGAGCTTCCCCGGGGAGCAGAGCCGACACCGTCTGGGCAGGAGGTCCCTGGGCACTGGGCTCACCCCGGCTGGCCGGCCACCGGCCGCGCAGCGCGTTCCCTTGCATCAAAGCATAGCCGGGTCCTGCCGAGCAGCGGGAGCTCTTTGTGCCGGTGCAAGAAGGAGCATGGGGCTAAGCTGGGGGCAAAGCCCCTGACTGGCAGCTCCTCCCCAGGATGGGGTGCTCCACCGTGCAACGCTGGGAATCCCTGGGATGCTGCCGCTGGGGCTGGGCAACCACCGGGGCAGCGCCCAAGGGCCTCCTGGCTCTTTGCCTGGGGGGGAGCAACTCATGCCCAAGCCTGCAGGACACAGCCCAGCTCCCATCCCAGGACAGGTCTCCCAGCCAAGGACAGGTCTCCCATCCCAGGACAGGTCTCCCATTCCGCCTCCGCCGGCCCCTCCAGCCCAGCCAGGTCCTCAGCATGACTCAGCATCGCTGTGGCTCCCGGCACAGCCACCCCTGGCACGCAGCCTTGCCGGCACAGCTCCACCACAGCCCAGGGGACACCTTCCATGGTGGGAAGGGCCAGAGCAGGGGCTGGGTGCAGGGGTGGGTTACCCTGCTCTGCAGCCAAGTGCAGGCCTGGTGCCACACAGCAGAGCACCCTCCAAAGTACCCCAAGAGGTTTTTTTTTTTCCCGCATACACAAGAAGCAGGAGGCTGTGCTCATCCTCCCTGAGGTAGCCAAGAAGCCATGCCAGGGCTCAGCACAGCCTGGGACACCGGGAAAACCCAACCCCATGCTCCAAAAGTATTCCCCCTCCTCCTGCAGGCACGGCAGGGATGGGGACACCATGGCACTGAGT